AACAAGTTTGTATGGACAATGGCAAGCCATTTGCTTGTTGGGACCATCCTCTGTCCATGAGGCAGGAAGCCCTTGTTCCTAGAGCCAACACCTGAAAGGTAGTCTCCTTGGTCAGCCAAGTGGTCCTGGAGAAGCCAGAGGGCTGTTTACCAAGGTCCGCAGTGAGTGAGTCACGTGTGTGGACTTCTGTCGCCACACCTCTGAGTCTGAGGCAAAGGAGAAAGGCAAGCAGCCATCCCAGCCCCTTTCTGCTCCTCCCTTGGGATGCACATTAGGCCCACCAGGGTCCCCAGAGGTGGTTTTTGAGTTAGTAGCATTCCTGTAGTTGGAGGATACTGAGGAGCTGTGGACAGAAGAGACTGGCAGTAGCAGGGTAGTGAAAGTCCTTCCCTAGGGATGCCTAGCCTCACTGCCCCTAGCATGGCTCCACACAATGTCCTAGAAGGAAGTTCTTCCCTGCTGCGCCTAAAAGACAATCTGCTCTTGATCTAACTGCACAGGTGGGTGCTGCCCGTAGAGAGGCCCAGGGTCAGGCCGGTCCACTGGAGTCCGGTGCTCTCTCTGCTCTGCTGCTTCGGGAGAGGACAGGTGGCTAACTTGTCCAGTCTAACCTGTCCGGCACCTAGTCCACGTGTTCTGGGCCAACTGAAACTCTTCCTCTTTCAGGCAGAGCTAGAGGCGGGGCAGGGTGAGAGGAAAGAGCAGTCATCTGGCCGCACCCTGGCTGTGGGAGGTGTTTGCAAACACTCCCGGAATTCCGTGAATCTCCTGGGTCCAGCGCCCCAGGACCGCAGACTGTGAGTCTATAAAGTGGGCAGAAGAGACTCTTACTCCAAGGCAGTCAGTGAGTCAGTTTTGAGGGACAGTGTACTCTGACTGAAGGAGGGGAGAAAAGGACCATTCAGGCATCTAGGGAGCACTAAGCCAACTCCCAAACATGCCATGTTCTGGAGCTCCTGGTGTCTCTCTTCTCTGACAAATGTCCAATTCATGCCTCTAGTGAGCCCCACTCCTCTGAGTTAACCCTGCTAGTGTCCAGTGTCTAGAGAGAAGGTTCTTGATCTCGATTTCTTGGGGGTGGCCAGGCAGCCCTGCCCTCCCTGAACTTACCACCTTTCCTTTTACCACAGAGCCTATTTGTGTCTACAGAAACCCAAACACATGAGGTCACAGGTGCTCATAATTTTTCCTTCCCTCACCACCATGCCCTCCCCCCTTGTCCTCTAATCCTTCCCATGAATGGAAGGAATGCTTCATGCCATACTCAGCCTCTGAGGCTGTCCAGCTAGGTTTCATTCCTGGCTCTGTACTGTGGGCGCTGTACTAACAATGTGAATGTGAGGGAAGAGGGGAGACCAGAGCTGAAAAACTTTCCTCCCAGGGTCAATTTTGACACCAAATCTCTGACATTGTAGTAGAGCAATCGACAGGTAGGACAACCAAGAGGGAAGAATATGCCTTATTTAATGCAGTACCAACACAGAATAGACACCAAGGTTTGGTAAGGCTGGGACAGAATGGGGCTGCAAGCAGGTGTCCCACGTGAAAATGAAGGAAGGTATTTGGCTGTGACCTGCCATGTTATTGGCTGCTGAGCTACTTTGCTCATATCTGTTGTACAGCCTGAAGCACAGCCTGATCAAGCCATTGTTCAAAACCCTCTGAAGGCTGGCTCACCTGGTTTAACACTGTGATATAAACTCCCTAGCCTGGAGTTCGTGATCTGCATTATCTGGGCCCACCTTCCTTGACCATTTTATGTCCACCACTTGTCCCCCGTAACCTCCTAAAATACCCCATATTCTAGCCCCTGTAGGGTACTCATAACCCGTAAACATGCCATGAACTCTCTGGACCCCAAGCCTTTGCTTAGGCTGGTCCATTCTCTCCTTCTGAAATGCTCTTCCCCCATCACCTTCTCTACTCATCAAATATGATAAACCTTTTAAGACCCAGCTCAATACTACTTCCTTCATAAAAATCTGCTTGCTTAGAGAAATCACTTTCTCCTCAAAGCACCCAAAGCATTATATCAATACAGGACTTCTTTTATAGCATTTGTCATAGTGTGGCTTGGAACTGGGTCTCACTGGGAGGTAGCATCTAGCACAAAGTAAGATCTCAATAAATCTTTATGGTAATGAATGGAGCCATGAAGTTGAATGAGGTTAATAAATGGCCAGGAAGGGGAAATAGCATGAGAACAACAGAGTTCTTTTAGACTTTCCTGACTCTTATGTGTCTGGTGCCTCCTTTCCTTTTCCCTTCTGAGCACATTAAATATTTACAACGTGCTAAATAGGCTTTTCCCACACTGTAGCCACCCTCAGTTGCAAACCTGAGTATAATGTCTGTGTTGTAATTCCCTACATGGTAAAGAAGAACACTGTGTACTCATGGTTGGCTGGAATAACCTGCAACTCTCCAATTTCATAGCACTGTGTACCCGGGTTTCTGCTAGGGGCTGTGGAGACAGGTCACTACCTGGTCCCTACCCTGAAGAGGGCTATCAGAAACCAAATCTTGGAGATATCTAAGTGAAGCCCTGCAGTGGGTAAGACTCAAGTAGTCAGAGAGGTTGGCAGGGCAGCTACAGGGCAGCCAAGTGTTAAAGGCCTGGAGGTGGGAAGGTTCTCTGGGCTTCAATTTGTTCGGGAGATAGAGAAGAATGAGTCAGGGTGGGACCAGAGTAGGAAGGCCTTTAAATTTCTAAGGATGAGGTTAATGCGGATGAGGCGACATTGTAGGATTTCAGCAGGTTAGTGCAGCAATGTGCAGTGTGGACCGGAGGGAGGAGAGCCTCAAGACCAGGGGCTCTAGTAGCAATCCAAGATTGGGGTTCTGAGGATTGGAAGAAGCAAGGGACGCAGCAAAAACACTGATGGGAGCCAGGACACCTGGGTTCTGGTCCTGGCTCTGTTGTGGGGGTCACTTCTCTGCTCTGGGCCTTTCCATAACTGTAAAACCTAAAAACCTTCAAAGTGACCTTTGCAAGCTGATGATCCACAGTTAAGCCTTTGCAGTAGGATTTTGAGAATGAAGGGAATAGACCAATCTAATGGACATTTGGAACAAGGAAATGACTAACTGGAGTCTAGAGGTAAAGAGCAAGGAGAAACCGAAGAGGGTCCAGCCAGGGAGAAATGGGGAACTGAGGGGGGGGTGGGAAACGGAGCCTCTGCTCCTGACGACTGGTTTGGCAACCCCGTTTTCAGTTCCCCCTTTCTTCCCCTTCCCTAATTTCGCCTCTTAGCCTCACCTTATTTGGTGAGGGCAGGGCAAATAGGACACCCCCACACGACCTCGTGCGCCGCCCCCCACTCTACCTTCCCCTTTTCGGGCTCTGACGGGGCCCTCCTTCCCCACCCACCTGCCGCCCTCCACAGTAACGGCCGGCGGCCACGGCGGAGAGAGCGGCGAATTCGGGGTCGCGTTCATTGCCACTCTCATCGCTACCGCAGGTTGAGAACTCACCACGTGCCAGGCTACTTATTTTTCACGGCAATTCTAGATAGTTATCTCGTTTTACCGATGGAGAAACTGAGACCAGAACGTGTTAAGTAACCCGTGCCAGGTTCCACACACGCCCGCGCGCACCGCCGGCGTGGAAACGAGGTCTG